AACTTATTATGATTATTATTATTATTATTATTATTTTGACAATATCCTCCTTTCGAACAACAATATTACAATCATTGTTATATATATTTGGTAATCCATATTATAAAAAAAAAAATGAAAAACTTGCCATTTATGATTGAATTAATTTATCCTGTACAAAAATACTAACTTTATTTGGATTTTATTAAAAATTTCATCATTTATGAAATAATTTACGAATATTTACCCCAAGATGATTTAAGTGCATGAATGGGTTTTTTTTGAAGAATGTTTTGAAATGTGTCAGACTCATTTCATTAAAAGACGTTCTACAAAGTTATAAATATTTGTAAAGGTACACAAAATTTTTAATTTATTTTATTAAAAATATATCTATATATACAATACAAAAGATTAAACAGATATCAAAAAAAAAAAATCAGAGATAAGGACGAAATCTAAATAATACAGATGTAAGATTATCAGTAAAATGTGAGTTAGATCTGATTATGATCCGCAGCTCGCAACGCAAAAACATGAACATATCAACCGATCAAACGGTTTAGTCGTGAACATTTTTTTTGGATAAGATCAGAACGATTGGAAGAAAATCTGTTCCGCAGCAATAATCTGTCAATTACGACATTTTCAAATCAAAAACCGGTAAGAATTAGACAAAATTAACATTTGTCACACCGAATGATATTACCAAAGCGTGGGAATGTAGATAGTGTGGCTTTTTACCCCCAAAATAGTGATATAAGCATTAAAATGATGTGATAGGGGAGTGATTTTTTATACGAGGATTGAGTGGCAAATATGACCTTTACGCAGTTATTACGCCTTTTAAATCGCGTGACGGAATTGAAACCAAAATTCTCACCCCTTAATTCGCTTTTGATGAACGAATGTAAATTTACCATATTTGAGAAATTTGAATGTATTCACTCGTGAAAAATATTAGTGGGGGGAGGCTTGAAAGAATGAAAATCATTTTTTAATCATCTTTTTTTTTCCATGTAAGATGCTGCGGACCCAATTCTACACACAAACCAATGTTTCGAAAAGTTTTCTGGGTATCCCATTATCCTACCGAAAAAAAAAATTCCCTTAAAATTAATGATAATCATCAAATCAATTCCAAAATTTATAATTTATACGCCTATCATGTTTTTATTTATTAACACGATTAACCTTATTACAATTAGATTGGAATAAATGTTGTGCATAAAACTAAAATAAAAAAAAAATTTTTTTTATTAGTTATGTAATTTTACGTTGTAAATTTTTACCAGTTAAAGATTAGAGCGGGAACTTAAACATTGTGAGCCAATTGAAAAGTTAGCGTGAGTGACTCCTTATAATGAATGACAAGGAACCTTAAAATTGCAAAAGTTCCTGGTAGTATAAGAATACAAAAAAAAAACTTGATGTCAAAATAAAAAGATTCTCATTATGGAAAAAAAAGGAGGTTAGAGCAAAAAAAAAAAATTTCGAAATATTTTTTGGGACAAAAAAAAATTTGATTTATTTATATAATTGTAAAATGATTGATATGCTAATCGGGAAAGTGATTGATAAGTTGAGTGATACAGTTAATTGTTAAGTCATTACGTTGAACTTAAGTCAATAGCTCTGACCAATCAATTGAGACATGTTGAATGATCATCCTTAAATTAAATACAAGAAAAAAATGATCGCTGTGGTGTCCCTTTATTATGTACATATTCTTTATTGTAACGGGCTGAACAAGAAAAAAAAAATACTGGTTGTTTCAAATAGTGACAAATAAGAAAATAACTTATTTAAATGATATAACGATAAAGAAAGGTGGGCTGGAACATGCTGTCACACGATTGCATTGAAACTGATTTTTCCAAATTAGCAACTTTAGAAAAAAACTGTGGTTCACCATTTCTTATTTTTATATGCAAAGTTGAAAATTTTTAATAGATAAACAATTCAACAGTTTATACTATAATACATATAAAAAGATTGTTCAATGCCCCGTGTTCATTCACTATTTCAAACAACAAACAAATAATATCGTAATTTATCATTCGTAACACTCGGTAACATATCACATACTATTTCCTGTTTCACGTGATTCTGATCCGGGAATCGCTTTCCGAGTTTTCATTGGTCGATAAAACAAAAATGCCATATAAAGCTAGTGTTCCATAAAAAAAAAATTTTTATAATATTGGTATTTATAAAAAGGGCCAAAAAATTTACCGTGTTTTTTTTTTTTTTTTTTTTTTTTTTAAAAAAAAAAAAATATAATCTAGTCTTATTTTTTATATATATTTTATTCTTTGTTCTCTTAACAAAATTAGTTGTTCCTTTTGTCTGTTTTACTCTCGCTTCTGTCTTCTTTTTACTCCTTTTATATTTTCACCCCTTTATCACTCTAGAATTTGTCACGGAATCTTTACCTCGCTGCGCTTGGTGAAACCGTTTGGCACAAAAAAATTTTGGTTGCCGTTATTTTTTTTTTTTTTTTTTTTTTATAGATAATAAATATTTCCTATATTAACCACTCCAAAAAAAAAAAAATTATAAATACGTCTCCACTACACCACCCACATCCTATCACAACACCAAATAATTTTCCCTTCATAAACAACAAACGATAAACCACAACTTCTTACCAACAATGAACGCTTACCCAGTCAATCAAGTACATTCCGTTGAAACTGTTCAGTATTACTCTATGGGTGCAGAAAACATTGCTCCCGCCAACAGTAACCCTGCTCAGTTATCCTTAGGTTGGTTTAAAAAGAAATTTCACCACGTCCTTTTCGGTTGAACTAACTTGACTCGTCGTGTCTTTCTAGTTGAACACACCCAGCACGCTACTGAAAAATCCCAACACGTCGTTGTTAAACAGGAAGATATTACTCAAGTCTCCCCTCCCGACAGCTCAAAAGAACACAGTCCGACACCTTCAATTTCGAAAACAACATACACTTGTCACGAATGTGGCAAAAAGTACAAACACCGAAACTGTTTGGTCAAAGTACGTGTATTTTACTTTATTTTTCTCTCATTTACACGAGTTCGTCTAAAGGAACGTACAATAACCTCCTTCACTTTGCAGCATTTATGGGAACATCACGAAAGCTGGGAACTATGTCTCAAGTTCAACTTGACTAAACACCAGCAGGTTCAGATGATGGAGGTAGGAGCATAACCTACCATTTTATGCTTGACATATTTTCAAGTGTCTCTGTACAATGCTTTTATTTCAAAAGGCCTATTACAAGTATTAACACGATGTTTCTTTTCATTTAGGCTGCGCAAATCCTCGTTGATCTTGCATGTATAAAACAACATTAATTCATATCCCCTTTACCCTTTGTATATTTACCCTCTCCTTTATTTTTTAATGTACCAAGGCGATTAGCAAAGGCACAATTACTATTATTTTGATGAACAATTATTTTTATATATACATTTTTTTTTTTATACACGCCTGCGTTTTTCATTCCGCCAAATTGGTTGTTTTATATTACATTGCTTTATATTCCTTTTCTTTGTTTATTTTTCTCATAGTTTTTTTTATTCATAAAGTTCTACAAGAGGGATGTTGGACAGTCATTTTAGAGGTAGAATAGTGCACTGCCCTACTTGTATATAAAGATTTGTTCCTTTTATTACGTGATTGGGATGAATTAGATTCCTCTTGTAGACTGTTTATTTTACTTTATATTTTTTTTTTTCCTAATCTTTTTTTCTTTTTACTTACTAATACTTTACCTTTTTTTTTCTTCATTGAAAAAAAAAATTCTAATTGTTAAAATTTTTTTACTCGTTTCTTATATTTTTTTTTTCCTATATTTTTTTTTTTTTTTCTTTCCACGGGCTTTGGAATTGAAAAAAAAAAAATTGTAATTACAATAACAAAAATTATCAAACAAATTATGTATAAATGAACAATGAATTGACTGAGAATATCATAAGCCCTATTCTGCTATTATTATTAGTATATATTTTTTTTTTTTTTAAAAAAAAAAAAAAATTCACATAAATGAAAATATAAAAAAAAAAACGCTCGTTATCAAGAATTTTTTTTTTGTTATCTGAGAAAATATTTTGTTAGTCATGTGGCAAATCAACAAACTCCTTTTATGGATGGAATTATGATTGGGTAACCCGATCTATGATTCTGCGCAAGATTATTATGAGTTGGGAATTCTATCCAATGGATAAAACGAATGTCATTCATTTATTAATAAAAATAATCTATAAAAGTGTCATAAATGATATATTTTATTTTTTAAATAAAAAAAATTGGGGGGTTCACTAATTGTTCTATTATTTCGGAAAAAGGATTATTTTAACGGAATCGAAAGAGCTACGGAATCTTTCGGAAAGAGATTATTCCAGAATGTTGAATGAGTCATTTATACAAATTTTCAAAAAAAAAAAAATTCACACGATTAAACAAGTTTTTTTTATAATGTGATCTGGTGATTATATTGTTTTAAATATAAATATATAAAAAAAAGGAAAAATATTTTTTATCTTAAAAATTTTTTTTTTGAAACGCTAACTATTTTTGTCGTATTAATTATTCGGTTAAATTTATTCAACTTTTTGGTCATATGGAGGCTTTTTTTAAAATTTCTTTTTGTCCCTAGCCCTTTTTATAGGTTAATAAAAAAGAAAGGAAAAATACAATGAACATATTTTTAATACCATTTTAATGTTTTTGCTTTGTGCAAATGATATGTTTCACTAAATACAAAAAAAAAAAAAAAAAAATTTGACGTTATGATCTAGTGTCTATTCCGATGAATGGAAGTCCCGTGAGTTCCGCGTAATTCCGTTTAATAATCAAAAATTCGTGTATTTTTTCTTAATTCTTTAAAGTCTTGTGCTCTTGTAGATCATTTGGATATCATATACTTTCAAGCATGCCCGCCAATAAACATAAACTTTATATTCAAGTTTATTAGTCAGATACAAAGGTTAAAACCTTAAATTATTAATATATTTTAGAAAAAAGAAAAAAAAAATTAACGTTTTATAATATTAATAAACATCTCCTTTTTATGTTCAATTCCGAAAAATCTAAGTGCGTTTCCGCTTAGCAACTTTTCCTTCTCCTCTTCGGTTAACCAATCACATTCTTCAATCAATTTACCGGGATGATGTTCTCCTAACGGGAAGGGATAATCACTTCCCAACATTACCCTGTCAATTCCCAATTTTTTTATCAGGAAACGTAATGTTTCTTCATCATGTACAAGTGAATCAACATGAATTCGATCTAGATATTCCGATGGATCCTTGTTGATTTTTATAGCACATAAATCAGGTCGAACATTAAAACCGTGCACAATCCGTCCTAATGTTGCCGGAAATGATCCTCCACCGTGTGCAAACGACACTTTAAGTCTCGGATGCCTTTCAAGCACCCCTCCCATTATAAGCGAACAAATTGATACAGTGGTTTCACAGGGCTGTAATGATGGAAAGTTATTATGGGTACAAGATATACGATTTCATTTTTTGTAACCTACCATTCCGATGAGCCTATTGAAATATAATGATTGATTAATGGATTAAAAGTTGTAAAAAAAAAAAAAAATAAAAGAAAAATAAAGTAAAAAAATTTTTTGTTTAAATTCACTCACCAAGGGAACCAATATTTTTCCATTCTGCCTTTATCTTCCATATCCCAAGGATGAACAAAAACAGCCGCATCAAGTTCTTCACAAGCCTATAGAATAAGAATTTCATTTTAATAAAACTTCGATGAACTAACTTATTATATGCAAGGTTTACGATAGGTCCTACATTCCAAAATTGATCCAATTCGGGAGCATCCAAATTCCAATTGTTTATGTGACTTCCGATTTGAACACCAACAAATCCAAGTTCATTAATGCATCTATGTAACTCTTTTACGGATAATTCAGGGGATTGCATTGGTAAAGTACAAAGTCCAACGAATCGTTTTGGATCTTCTCTGCAAACTTCAGTTATATGATCATTAAGATACCTTGCCAATTCGAGTGTATGTTGAGGTGCTGCAGAGTACGAAAACATCACTGGGACTGTTGACAATACCTAAAATCACATTTCTGTTAAGAAAATCCATAACGCGTAAACTTGCAACTTTTAATTATACCTACTTGAATATCGACTCCAGTTTTATCACATTCCCGTTTCCTCTCTTCTGTTGACCAACAATTACATTTAATTTCGCGAAAATTCTTGCCATCCAACAACATTCTCGCCTTTCCCTAGTTAAAAAAAAAAAAAAAGGATGTAGTTGAGGATTACATCGTCGTGGTTTTGATCGTTCACTGCAAAAGTTTTAAAATACCACTTACCGGCTCGAAATGATCCAACTGCATCCATCTACCATGACCAAATTTTTTCTTTAAATCTGGCCAATATTTTGGAAGTATATGGCTAAATAAAAAAAAAAAAAAAGAAAAACTTATTATTAACTTTTTTCTTCACGAGCAAGGATGGTTACTATTATTATCTTTCTTTTTCTTTTTAGGAAAACTCACGTATGCATGTCGATTTTAAGGTATCTTTTATTTGGGATTGAAACATCATTTTGTCGTATAGGAGTTGGTGCCATATTTTCAAACAATTTTATATTTAAAATTTTTAATTTTACAAATCAAATTGAAAAACAGTTTTTTTTATTAGAAAGATGAAACAAAAAAGAACAAAACAAAACGTTTTTACTTCAACTTGTGGGAAATTGTTAAAAACACTCCTTGAACCATATACTTATTTATGCAAATTTAAATAATTAAAATGCATTTCCATATACAGATCGTCAGGTGATTGTGAGATTTACGCCTGGGAATAATATACTGTCAGTTGTCAGCTGTACCTGTTCATCCTGCAGCTCAATCCCAATGGATTCATTGATTACCGCAGATCCGACAACTAATGATGTCTTTAAAAGTTTAGAACGAATTTATTTTTACCTGAATTTTATAACCATTATTATTCTTTCACACGGGTTCATATTTGACGTATTATAATTTCCATTATAGGATTAGTTTAACTATTAAACAGATGGAACAAAATTTATTATTTTTTTTTTTATTATTTTATTTTTACTTTTTTTTTTTTTTTTGTGGAAATACGCCAAAGTCGAAATAGAAAAATATTGACAATGAAAATTACTCATTGTATTTTTGACATGGATGGTTAGTTCATATTATTTCTTTATTTATTTATTTTTTTTAAATTTTAACATTCCAATTTCTCTTATCAATGGGTTGATTACAGGACTTTTGTTGGTAAGGTTACATTATTTTTTCTTTCCTTTGATAATGTTTCTTTTAAAATAAAGCACCATATTAATTATTATTTCAAAAGGATACTGAAAGGATTTACACCGAAGTCTCAAGTAAGCGAATAATATTTTAATAGTTCTAAATTCATTCTTTTGTCTAACTCGGTTCATATTTCAGACGAAATTTTATCAAGATTTGGTATGACTTTCAAATGGGAAATAAAATCCAGAATGATGGGTCTTCGTCAACGTGAAGTACTAGTCAATTTTTTTTTTTTTGAATAAAAAAAAGTATTCGGTTATAGTCAAAAATATATTTATTTTGATTTTGCTTATTTTTAGGCTGCTGCTCTTTTGATTAAAGAAACAGGAATTTCACTTACAATTGATGAATACGTTGAAGAGGTTATTATAAGACAGGTAAAACGAATCGACTAAATTGCCATTTATTTAACTTTGGACCTAATGATTTAACCCTTTTTAGAAAGAGAAATTTCCTTTTACCAAACCATTGCCGGGCGTGATGGTTTGTCCATATTTCTTAACTTTTTACAATTAAAATACGCTCATTTTTTTAAAATCACTTCTTTTTAAAATGATTCAGCGTCTCGTAAAACATTTAAAGGAACATAACATACCAATTATCGTAAGTAATCTTGGTTCATACAACTCAATACCTTTTTCACACACACACACACTCACACATCTCTAAACTTTTCTTTCTCATCTTTTATAGGTAGCAACAAGTTCTCATCGAAAAGCATACGAAGATAAATCCATGAATAATCAAGATTTATTTAAATTATTCGATGCGATCGTTTGTGGTGATGATCCAGAAATAAAACATGGTAAACCTGCTCCTGATCTTTTCTTAACAGCTCGTGAAAGATTAGGTAATCCTCCACTAGAACAATGTTTAGTTTTTGAGGATGCTTTAAATGGTATTCAAGCAGCCAAAAATGCTGGTATGCCTGTAATTTGGGTACCTGACCCTTGTTTAGCTGCTTTATATCCTGGTGTAAATGGTGCTACTGAGGTGTTACCTTCATTAGAGCTATTTAATCCCGCAAAATATGGTTTACCTCCTTACATTAATAATGACGATATATAATCGTTTCTTACTGAGCAGACTTCTATGCCAGAACGAATTGAAAATTTTTCGGGTCATATGGGTCATATTCATTTTTAATAAAGGGATATAAGATGTTTTTATTCATGATGTGCTTTCTTTTGGCGAACTGTCAGTCTCGTTCTATATCTTTCACTATGATGGATTTTCATGACGAATTTCTGATTCAAATGTAACATTTAAACATTCGTAAGGTAAGAACCATCATCATTTGAAATCGTCTAGATAAAGAGTTAAATGGCACGAATGATCGCGGTAGGAATTCCATACTTATGATCATCACTATTTGAATCTTTTCGTTTAGCAGATCTTACATTTCACTCTTCAGCAAAAAATCTGTGAGATACGTTGTGACGAATAACACGTGATAATAGTATTTCGCTCGCCCATCCAGAATACGACTATAACAAACGCATGCGAATCACGTGATTTACAATTGTTACTGCATCAAAAACTTAGTGATGGTAGTATTTGCCAAACGTTTCTGAATTTCTGAAATTCTCATGTCTTCTTTTTGTGGCAGATGAAATTAATAATATTAAAATCGATTAAATAGTTTTCTATTTAAAATTATTTATATAATAAAAATATCAAAATTAGAATAGTTTTTTTATTAATACTAAAGCATTTAGGATTATTTTATTTATTATTTTTTAAATTTATCTCTAAATTAATTTTTCAAAAGTTTTTATAATCTTTTCTTTTTTGAACTTTTCATTTTTAAACATTTTACTATCAATAGAATGAATAGTAAAATAATTATTAAATTATTAATCAAATTATTTTTAAAATTAATAAAAGTTATCATTAAAAAAAAATAATAATAAAATATTATCTAAATTATCTTTATATATTTATTACTATCTTTTTTTTTAAATTTTTTAATTTCATAAAATTTTTTTATTTTATTTTCTTAATATATTTAATCTTTTACTTTTATTAATATTATCTCATTAATTAACTATTATTATTTATTCTCAAAAATTATGAAAAAATCTCTTAAAAATAAATATCTAACCAAAAAAAATGTTTTAGTTAAATTTATAAATTACATAAATCAATAAGAAAAATAAATATTAAAAATTAATTTTCTTTTAGAATTTTTATTTAATTAGTATATAAAGTAATTAATTTTATATTTATTAGCCTATAAATTTTTTTAATCAAACTAAAAAAATACTATTTAATATTTCTTAAAACTATTAAATATAATTTAATGCTATTATAATAATCATAAATTATCCAATATTAATAAAATTAAATTATTAAATTATTTTTATTATATTTTTAAATACTATTCACTATTGTTTAATTTCTTAATTTTATCAATTAATTAGAATTTTTTCCTATAATTTTATCTTCATCAAAATATAATTAATTTATTTACTTATTACTTTATTTTAAATATCAAATAAATAAATTTTACTTAGATTAATTTAATAGATTTTATTTAATTATTTATCAAAATGTAATATATAAATATTTTAAGTTTAATCATAATTTTAATAAGTAGTAATATTAATTTCAATATTATATTTTAATTTTTAAATAATTTTAATTAAACTAATTTTATTTATTCTTTATTAATTTAGTATTTTTATTATTCTTTAAATTATTTAATAAGTAAATTTATTTGTAAATTTTGGTAATAGTAATTATATAAATATATATATTAACTTTATTAAAAGAATTTTAAGTTTATCAAAAAGTTTTTTAAATAATTCAATTTTAAAATTAAGTTTAAAAAATTTATTATAATAATATTTTAAAATTTATATTGTATGTTTATAAATTAATTAAATTACTTTACTACTAATTAAAATTATAAAATTTATAATAATTAAAGTTATTCTTCATGATAAATTTGATATTATTTTATTATAATTAATATATTGATAAAAGTAAATGTTAATAAAATTATTGAAGATTAATAATAAAATTTTTAGCTTATAAATAATTTTAGATTATTTTTTAAAATAAAAAATTATTATAATATAATATATATTTATAAAAATTAATTTAAAAAAAAATTTTAATTTTTCATAAAAATAAATTAGAAAGAAATTTATAGTAAATAAACAAGAAATTTATTTATAAACCTTTATAATTTAAGAAATAATAATTTTTTTTTAATTTATCTTAAATAGATATTATTTAAATTTTTTAAATAATTTTTAATTACTTTTTTAGTTAATATTATCTCTTAAAATGTAGATATAAATTAATTATAAATCATTGTAAAAAAATTATAATATTTTAATATTTAATGATTATAAAAAAATAAAATAAAATTTATTAGATTTGTCATATTAAGATCTATCTAATGATAGTATTTTTAAATTATTAAAATAATAATTATTAATATATATTAATTTTCAATTTTTCAATTTTTTAAAATAACTTATTATCTAATAATTACAAGAAAATATTACTCAAACAAAATAATAATTTAACGATATCTTAATTCAAGACCTCTGTACTTCAAACAAGTTCATCAACAAAGTCTGGGAGTTTTTGTCTAAACTGTTATGACATCAGCTTCTAAATATATCCTAAAACAAACCACTTCAGCTCATCTCAATTCTCTTTATTTATGTTTAAATTTTTCAATCTACAGACAAATCAATAAAATTTAAAAATTTTATTATTGATGCAAAATTTTTTTTCTATTCCCTTCTTTTCTCAACACTACTTCACAGAATTTCTTCCCCATTTCATCTATAGACCACAATTTTATTCTTAAAACTGCAGCTGAATATCTTATTTCTTCTAGTTTATTAGATAGCTATTATGACAACAACTGACTACTCTTATATTTACATGAACTAAAGAATGATATTCTGAAACTATTACAGTCAACTCTCTATAAATGCACCCCCTCAGGACTAAACAAAAGCGTGCATTTATACAGAGAGTGCATTTATAGAAAAATATAGAATAATCGGCCAGGGAAATATGCGCATTATGAAATACTGCGCCTATCATCTTTTAATTACATACGCGGAAATTAAAATGATCAACTGCGCTGAACTGATACGGTTTAGTTTTTTAAAAAAATTTTTTTTTTTTGTATTTCCTCTTTCCCTCTCCTTCCGCTCTTTTTCCTCTT